GATTTCATTTCCTTGGAAACATGTGATTTACACTAAATAATGCTAGTTTTCTGAAATTATTATTCATAATTTTTTCACCACTCTCTGTTACCTACAACAACTTTCTATATTAGATATTGTTTTTTTCTAAAATTCTCAGCTTTCCAACTATATATATTATACGTATGCCTTCTGACAAGTAATTCCGGATAATCATTTTCAACCTGAATAAGCATTTATTTTTTTCTCCTTTATTCAATTATCAAATTCTTTCAAAAGTTATATTTAGTAATTTTTTGTAAATCTTAATAATGAGGGATAGTTAATTATTTAAAATAAACCATATTAAAGGTACTTTAGAGAAAGACGTATGTGAACATTGGGCATTTAAGCCCTTTAAAGTGACATTAATGGGGATAGAACCTAAATGATATTAAAGACCACTTAATTATACAGTGATAAACAGAGTTTAATAAAAATTGTTAAGAGCCGTTTTTGAGAAAATTGTAAAAATATGTTTCACCGTTGATATAAAGTGGCACTTCCAGTTATCCGATTTTAATGAAAAACTTGCTGTCACATTTAAGGCTTAAATATGTTATATCAGTTTCGTAGGACTTTTCATTTTTGAGCTAGACTGTAATACCTGACTTTGAGATAGACTGTAATAAATACCCAATAATTTAAATATAATATCATATCTAGAGTTATAGAACCACATCAAAAGAATTTATGGTTATAAATATATACATGAAATATTTTTATATTTCACTTCTTTCACACAAGTACAATTAAATAGTATTTTAAACAATGACATTGGCAGGATTCGGTGGATTTTAAATGCTTTTTTTCAAACTTAGAAAAGTACTTTAAAAGTTTACATTTAGTAAGGGAATTTCGCTTAATTTCATTGGAAACATGTGATTTACGTTAAGTAATGTTGGTTTTCTGAAATTATTATTTCTATTTTTTTTTTGTCACTCTGCGTTACCTTCTATTTATTTATTACATTTATTTATTTTATTTTATTTTTTCTGAAATTCTTCGCTTTCTAACGATATATTATACGTATACCTTCTGACTGTTATTTACGGAGATTCATTTTTAACCAGGATAAGCATTTTCCTTTTTTCTCCAGTTTCCAATTATCATATTCTTTTAAACTTCATATTTAGCCATTTTTTATAGTTACTGTCAATATAAGAGAGTTGATTTTTTCAAATAATCCATATTAAAGGTGCTTTAGGAAATATTTAAAAAAAATTATATTTTTATATGATATAACTTCAGAGGTGTCATATCATATAAAAATGGACAATTCCTCACTTTTTATATAAATAATTCGGTGTTTTACATATCTATATGAATACTACCACCAAATGACTTCAACTGTAATTTGTATCTATAATATTTTTCAAACATAACGCCGACCCCGGCGATATGCCTGTAATATTTTTCAAACGTAACGCCGGCCTCGGCGCTACAGAATGTATCGCTGAGGTGTAACGCCCTGTATGTGACTGCTATAGTGGAAGAGATAGTAATACAACTGTAGCGCTGTGCTAAATAACGCCTTCTGTGTGAACACGCCGTTATAATCCTATTAACTTGGGTATTAGCTCACTTTTCTCCCTACATTAGGCAGAGAATAACGTCGGAGGGCGATATTTTTGTAATTTGTATCAATTTATTGCTGGCCCCGGCGCTACAGCATGTATCGCTGTAGCGTAACGCTCTCTATGTGACTGTTATAGTGGAATAGATAGTAATACAACTGTGGCGCTATATCGCCGCGATAAATATCGCGTTCTGTGTGACCGAGCCTTAAGGGTAAGTATTGTGATCGTGAATTTTTTTTAATCTGAGTTTCCAACGGAAATACACGTTTTGAGATTCCCTGAGTCCAAATAACCAAGTCCCGAAAAATGGTCTGTGTGGATGTGAACAGTCTAGCTCAAAAACCAAAAGCCGTACGAAACTGATATTACATATTTAAAATAGGTATTGCCTTAGATGAGGCAGCAAATTTTTCCTTAAAATCGGCTCACCGGAAGTGCCACTTTATATCAATGGTGAAACACATTTTTTCTAATTTTCTCAAAAACGACTCTATCGATTTTGATTAAACTCGGTGTATTACTGTATAATTAAGTGGTCTTTAATATCATTTAAGTCTTATCCCCATTGATCCCAATTTACAGGGTTCAAAAGCCCAATATTCATATACGCCTTCCTCTAAAGTACCTTTAATAAGTTTATTTTAAATAATTAACAATCTCTCAATATTAAGATTTACGAAAAAAATAAAAATGCTAATCAACGTCGAAAATGAATCTTCGGAATTACTAATCAGAAGTTATAGGTATAATATATCGTTGGAAAGCTAAGAAATTTAGAAAAAACAATATATAACATAGAAAGTTGTAGAAGGTAAGGGAGAGTGGCGAAAAAAGTATAAATAATAATTTAAGAAAACTAATATTATTTTACGTAAATCACATGTTTCCAAGGAAATCAAATTAAATTTGTTTACTATATGTAAACTTTTAAATGTTTTTCTAAGTTTGAAAAAAAGTATTTAAAATCCAAGGAATCATGTCAATGCCATTGTTTAAAATGCTATTTCATTATACTTGTGTGTAAGAAGAAGTGAAATATAAAAATATTTAATAAATATGTTTATAACCTTAAATATATTTACTCTAAAGTATTAACTCTAGTTAAGAAGTGAGGTAGCTCAGTGGTAGGGTACTGGGCTTCCAATACTTAAAGGTCCCATGTTTGAACCCTGGCTCATGGCAGAAAAATTATCTATTTCGTTGGCCGTGGGGCGACCCTTGGTCGGGAGACCCTCCTGGGGCACACCCTGCCTCTATAAAAAGTGCCTTAATTAAATAATTGATCAAGGGGAAAAACCTGAGGGTTGAGCGTGATCTCGGTCAAATCACATTCTTGCACAACCGTTGACCTAGAAACAGTGCTTTCCCTAAATAGTACTGAGCCCAAGACCCTTCGTTTGCTGTAGTAGTACAGGTTTTATTTACTCTAGATAAGATATTATATTTAAATAATTAGGTATCTACCCGACGTTTATTCCAAAAAATCATGAAGAAATCTTTCATTAAATTAAATTAGTGAATAATTTAATGAATTTTCCCCTTGGGAAATCCCAACATCAATTAGTGTGACAACTTTTGACCTATCCGTGGCAGGTAATGAAAATCTCGTAATTTCGTTTTAGTAAACTTTACAATGGCAAATAGCAATTTAATAACAAATAATCCTACAACCCATAATCATTTATAGCTTAAATATTCAGATATACTTTCAAACCTCTCTAGGCATATATGAGCCTTTTGGTTGACAGAATGACTAATCCCAATTTAAACATTCTTTATTATTAATTTTAGTAATGTTTCTAGTGAAATATACTGAAAAATTACATTAAATAAAAACATATAATTACAATAAAACATATTTATTCACAGTTCTACATTTCAACACTGCAATCACCTACTCTGTAATCAACACACTCACTGTCTGTATGGATAGCTTTTTCAACTAAAAATGTTGAAATGAGTTGTTTTTTTTCCTCTAAAGCGGCATGAGTTCACTACGGCCATGTAGGCGTATTGTACGCCGACATTGGAAATTTGAAATTGGAGTTAGTCATTCTGTCAACTGAAAGGCTCAGAAACTGAAGTTGTGTGGTTTATAAAAGCAGATGGAGCAAAAAGAGTTTTATTGCCTTCAGTCGATATAATAAATAGACTTTTGTCCTGTCTATGACAGACAATGTAAATCTCTTAATTTACTTTTAGAAAACATTGGAATGGAAAATAACTGTTGAATAACTAACAGTTGTACAACCCATAATCAACCAGTGATATAATAAACAGGACTTTTGTAATTTTATTCCTCTTAATCATTTGTTATCTGTAAGCTTTAAGCTTTAGCTCCATTCAAACATTTTATAATAGCCCAGCATTGCCAGAAAATAATTTCTATTCATAGTAAGCGGTAAGTGAAAATTGTGTGTTGCGCGCACCAGATTTTTTATTTTCATCTATGTTTAAAACTGGGTTATTCCCTTTCAACTGTCCTGTTTACAGTATACAAACTGAAAAAGCTTTGAATATGGATGAATGTCAATGTATAAAATACCTGTGCTCAGCTATAACAAAGACTCGGAAAATATAAAACAACAACGATGAAAGACGGCAAAGAACTGGATCTCGAAATAAATATAAATAATATATGGCAAAGCTGCAGAAATGGAGACGATTTTGGTGATAAAGATATTGAAGGGGCAGTTAAATACATAGAGAAATTTGGGTATTAGGCTCGACGATAAATAGGCAAAACTATAGTAAAGAAGAAATTAAAGCTGGAAATAGTAGTTATTATTCTTCCTTCAATGGAGTCTAGAGGTGCAATCTACTCAGGAGAATGGACTCTCTACTCCATATTATGGATGGTAAATTTCATGGCAGTTTTTTATTTTCAAGACATTATATAATACATTCTTCACACCAGGGCCATGATTGGCACATATTTCTAGTCTTGATGACAATATGCGACCTCATAAGGGAAAAGATGTTCATCAATATTTTGACATTTCACATCTGCTCCCTCCGGTATTTTCTTCACATCTCAATCTCATTGAACAGATGTGGCATCCACTGCAGGGAGGGCTTTTTGAGCACCATTTGCAGCTTCTTAACCTTTAGCAACTGAGAGCAGTATTACCATGTTTATTGTATGAAATTCCTTGTTAAATCAGTGACATCATTATAAACAGTATGCTCAATAGGTGAAGAGAGGTAGTGCATAATAGAAGACATTACACAAATTATTGAATTTTACAAAATGTTTACAATTTGTAATCATAAAACCAAGATCACATAAACCTTTAATTTTATTATTTTTTAAAAACACCTTTAGTAAAATTTCTGAAGGTCAAATACAATCTTATTTATATAAATTTCAATGTTATTTATGATAAAAATATAATACAAATTCTAGGGAAAATAAATCATACATAACGAACAATATCCCTATTCATTTTTTCACTGTATATCTCCATTTGAAATTTCTAATGAACACAATACTTTCATCTAATATGTGTTTCATATATGAGTATGTGAATGTAATAATTTTCTAAATTAGCAAAAAATCTCTCAGAGGATATAATTTTCAGATTGTATATGGCGATACTTTAGGAACCAAATTTTCACCAACTCAATACCTGACCAAAAAAGTTAGAACATTACTTTTTTGGACAGTTGTAATGTCAACAGCTAAAATACAGACACAATAAGACTACTAAAATTCTAGTAATTTTTTTTACATATATTACAATAAAACATATAATTATTAACAAAAATAAATACAGAGACTTGGATATGAATAAATCTAAAATCATTTTTCAGTCAGTTATAACATTTACTATTCATATATATTTTTTCCATATCGGGATTTATACTTTAAAGAACCTTCTAATAATTACAGACAGTTTAGTTGTTTACTTCCAACTTTTCTATTTCTTTTTTCAATGATTCAATCTGAAACAAAACATGGTATTAATTTATAAATGGGTAAATCCATATCAAATTGACCAATTTAATTTGAGAAGGATTGTAATCTAATGCAAAAAAGTAACTTAACAATAGCGAAAATAAAAATTTTTTACAATTTTTTTTTAGATAGATAGAAGTTCATTACAATCTAGAAAAATAATACAATTTGCCACAATCTAGGGCATTGAGTACTATGGCTCTATGTTTAAATTCATACAGGTTCTCATTAAAGTTGCCAAGTCGTGTTATTCTGTGGGCCAGAGCCCATTACCGTGCAATCCCTCCTCCCCCTCTACATCCCTATAAATTGCATATTGTTGTAACTATTTATTTAAAGAAAGCCAATGTTCCCACAAAAAAAAGTGAACCTATTTTTTTTAACAGAGTTGTAAATCATGCGTTGTTTGTAATTAAACTGCCAACAATAACGCAAAATGTTCTGAAATAAAACTTCTGGAGAATATATTTCTCTTTCTAAAACATGGATTACTATTTAAAATATCTGAAGTAGTTCTGTAGAAAATGCACTCAAGCGGCAGAAAAGCGGTATTGGCATAGGTGCCTACAGGCCTCTACCACACCATTCAATATTCATAAATGGCTTAGTTATAGTGCTCTAATAACGTTTTTGAAACATTATAATGATTGTATTAATGAAAAAATATTAATGCAATAATTTAACTATCCAAAAAAATTAAACAATTTTTTTTAAAATTTATCTTCTTTTATTCTATACGGAGGTCTTTTAAGAAGGCCGCTATTGTAAAAATGATATAAATATAATAACAAAACTTAATTCAAAAATACTTTGCTGAGTATCTTGAATTTTTTATTTAACTTTTGCAATTTAACACTTAGTCTTGTATATTTACTGATTCATAGAGGTAATTTAAATTGTATGTACTTCCCTGGAAATGAGTCAAATTAATAACTGTTTTATAAACTAAAATAATATATAACTAATCTGAAATACGCAAAATTGAACCCAAAAATTGGAAAAATACATTAAGCTAACGAGAGAGAAGTGTCAAAATCTCGGAAAAGAAAACAAGGATCAGTATCCATTATATTGCTAAACGAATATATAGTAGACAGATGAACAGAATATTTCAAGATGCTGCTAAAAGGGAGACAAATGTTGGAGCAGTTTGGATGATATTAAGGGAGCTATGCAGGTTTATTAGAGTGAAGACCATATTATCAACAAGAAAGATTTGTTCGAAGGAATTGGTAAGTCAGCAGGTCTGGACAAGGTAAATGAGGTTTATTATGGTAAAAACCACTTTATTTTTTATTGCTACCTAAGTTGCACATAGGGACTATCTGAAATTGGTAGGGGGATCAGACCCACCGTGTATGGTATGTTATAGAAAATGTAAGGGAATTAGATTTTGATAAATTTGGATTTAAATTTGATCATAGAATGTGAATTGATTTCTAAGATAAAAACAATTGAACTCCAAGCTGAAACAGTTTAGTTCATACTGACATCAGTCAGTGTACAAAAAATTTCACATTGAAGCCACAATTTCCTTGGAAAATGATTTTGTATCAATTAGTGGAGTGGACGAACCAAATAAAAGAATATTAAAATTTTCAAACTAAAAACCTTCTCTTTTAAAATTAAAAATGATAAAATGAAGTAGAGGGAGGTATAAAATTCAGATGGTTAACTGGTGGTCATTGTAACTAAGCGCAACAACTTGCATGCTTTCAGGTGAACCCTGTACCCAAGTTTCCTATACTTGGTAAACATTTTGTTTGTTCTTACTAAAGATACTTTTATTTATAATCATTTCTTATATTTTGGCATAAATGAGATATTATTTAATTTGTTAAATTTAAAGTTACCATTTTGTTTCTATTTTTATTTCAATTTAAGTTATATTTATTTCCTAAAATATTTCCTTGACAACTTTTATCACATGATAATAGTATCTGAAATCTGGCTATAATCTTTCATCTCTTCCTCTCAAATGCAAATGTCCCTATGCAATTACTCTTTCCTATGTCATGACAGATTTGATGGTACGGGAAGTGGTGTCTCATTTTAAGTCCATGACAGTCTCAAGGCCAAAATCCTCCAACAATCCTCCTCTTTTGAATATTCATTCCTCTTATAGAATATTTGTTGTTTTGTTGAAATTTCTACTATTTTCTCGCCCCTATAGTAGAGCAGTTTACCGACCTCCTCATGTCCCATTCGACAACCTCTTCAAATCCTCTCTTGTCAATTTGGTCTCCATTTACTCCAATGAAATAATCACTGGGGAATTCAATGTAAATTTGTCCTCTGAATTCACTGCTAAATCATTTCTCACTGATCTCATATTTTTTCTCAACCTTTATCTTGTTTCATATTCTTCTACCCATCACATTCAATTTCCTGACACATGATTGAACCTTTACATCACTATCTCTCCCATAAAAATCCTTTCTTCATCTCAACTCTCCGTTCCCTTTCTATCATCACACGACTTAATCTTATTGGTTTCTTATGACCAACCCATCAAATCCTTTACTCCAAAAGTGAGATCACAATTTGGACCTCTTTTCTTATGAATCCCTTCAACCTGACCTAGACTCTATCAAATGGCACATCATATATTCCTACAGTTCTATTGAACCCATAGTTTCCTCCCTCACCTCCAAATCTTCAGTCTGTATTAGATATGCATGCTCTTCTTAATATTCAGGCATTTCTTCTGTAACTATAATTTGTCCTAAAGGGACAACAGTTCCAGGATAATAAAAAAAATGTTTTCATTTCATTTTTTCTAAAAAAAAAAAAACTATCTGTCGTCCTACTGCTCCTTGGCAAGTTTCACTAAACCTGTTCACAAGGTAATTATGCATCCTTCAAAAAACTTTACGATAGAACTCAATCTGCAATTTGACTAGCTGAATCCTTTCAATTCCTATTTGTTTATTTTATTATTCTTTTTGAATATTTAATAGTTGACCATTGAATTCTAAAGGAAGGAGATGAGGTGGTGATAAGGGGTGGTGGTCATAAATAGGCTAAAAGTGGCAAAACTATTTAGCCTATTTATGACCGCCACCCTAAATTTATGACGCCCTTTTTATGAAATTCTGAGGCTCTAATGCCTACAATTGCATTCTTATGTATCATTCTAAAGAAATTTGTTCCAGAAAAAATAAAGCATATATTAGTAGTATTATTAATAATCCTACTTCAGTTATAAATACAAACTTATAACAATTCTAAGCACTGTAGATTTTTGGTTTATCAAGCTAAAAAAAAATTTAGATTTCAGATATTTTCTAAGAAAATTTCATTTACTTTCTACAGAAACGTTAATTTCCGCATTAAAAAAATATAAAAATAGACTTATCAATTGTGGATTGATGGCTGACTGTAGTGAATAATTTAAGAGAAGGATGGTTGGGGTGATCAGCCAAAATAAAAAACAGTAAAAATAAATAATTATATTTATAAAAATAGATATAATTATTTATTTTCACTATTTTTTATTTTGACTGATCACCCCAACCATCCTTCTCTTTAAAAATAGACTTACATGTTAGGTGTTAATTTTTATAGAGGTTCAATCAAACCTATTTTAATCAGAGCGGGAAGGTCTAGATTCATTCCTCAAGTCCACCACAAAATAACTATCAGCTTATTCCTGACAAAACTAGCAGAAAAATATATTAACAACAATGCTAACTTTCTTCGAGAAACTAAACTGTAAAAAGAGGATATAAAGTTTGTGGTGATCGCTCCTGGTGGTCAAAAAATAAAATGTTAAACAACAATTTGAGGACAATGTTTTGGCCGATAAAATTGTAAAACTGAGTGAATTCAGTGATATAACGTAGTACTCTTCCGATTAACTATTCCTTCAATTAGTACTGCACCTCTGTAAACCGTAAAATGCAGAAGAGGCCGACACCAAAAAATTAAAGCTAAGAAAAAATTAACAAAGAATAAATAAATCAATCTATAAAATTAATGGATGTGTATTTTTAACTTTCTGAAAAAATAAAATAATCACCAACTATCATCACTTGAATCAAAACAAACTATTGATCCAAATCTAGCAGAAAAGGAATTAATAATTTTATACATACAATGTAATTAAATTTTGTTAATAAATTAATGATAGAGTACCTGATCACAATGTGATTTTTTTACTTTTAAAGGAGCATTTTTTTGGTAACCTTCATTTTTAGAAATGTCTAGAAGTTTATTTAGTTTTATTTGTAATTTATTTCTTCTATCGGATAGTGCAGCTCTGTCCATCACTTTACTTTTATAAACATCCTAAAATAAATTAGATTAATTAAACACCAACAAAAATCAAATAAATAAAATACAAAAATAAGATGAAGCTAACAATCCTTAAGGATATCATTAAACAAGGAGCATTCTATCATAAGTTAACACACCCACTTTTCATAAAAAGATTTCTTTACAGATTCTCCTGGCTATTCAGTTTTCATCAAAACGTAATGAATATCATGTCAATTTCAAGTAATACAATACACTTTAAAGAATTACCACTGTGTTTTAAGTTTGGTTGGAAAGTGGTTACAGTGCTGCCTTCCACAAAGTTGAAAAAATAAAACTATGTTAACTAACTATTAGTGAAGGATAAACCAGATCAGAAGGAAATCTATAATTTCTGTTAGATCCAGAATACATAAAAATTTGCCAAATTGGACAGCTAAATTTACTTATCATTTTTGTGAGAAGTAGAACATTTTATAATAGATAGATTTACGAATTTAATTTATTGAAATGCAGAGAGGGGGAAAAAAGTCGAGACTCCCAAAAGGCACTTCTCTCTCACCCAGCTCACATACAATCTCCGATCCTCTAACTACTTAATTAGGAGGGGAAGTAAAGGTATGATACTAACCATTCTCTTACTAAGAGAAAATATTAAAATTGTTATAAATGAATTAGATACATTATTTTTAGTTTGTATAACTTTCTACATATTTCATTTGTAATATTTGTACTGTAATATTAGTTAAGATTCATGTATCATCAATCACTAAATTTTTCCATTATTAACCATTGTTAATCATATAATATTATATCTCTGATTGTATTTAAAAAAATTTCAGTCCTGATGATGACTCAAATGTTTAGGTTGAAACGTTTTTAAGAACAGATGAGGAGCTGGGAGATTTAGTGTACTATTTATCACAATACGATTTTACATTAAGATAATCTCCAGGAAAGACAAATCAAGAAGCAGATGCTCTTTTAAGGAACTTAGTGCTAGAAACTTTTGAGAATTGTGATGATGTACTTCAAGTAGTGAACTAAGTCACAATTGAGGAAATCAACGGCGACCAAGAAGATATTGAGAATGAAATCACCTCTAGCAAAAATATATACAAAAAGTGCGATTTAATTTTTAAGAAATTAAGGTGCAGAGAACGTATATAATTATAATAAAAACCTTATAATGACTGCGACCTGAATATTTATCATACATGATATGTAGAACAGTCGATTAACTTCCTTCAATGGAGCAGAAACTTTATTTTTTTTGATAAATTGCATCATTTAGATCAAGAAAAAAAAAAAGAAACTAACATATGTTATAGATAAACATTTATCAATATTTGCGAAATATAGATATGATGTAGGGGCAACAAAAAACCATGAAGCTCACATCAAACTTTTGGAAAACAAATACATATCAAAAAAGCCTTACAGATGCTTCATACCAGATAGTCAAGAAATGGAAGATCAAATCAAGAAATTACTGGATGCAGGATTGATAGAAGAATCTTAATCTCCATTCGCGGCACTAGTAACATTATCATACAAGAAAGAAGACAATAGAAGATCAAGGTTATGCATTGATTTTCGTGATTTCAACAAAATTCTAGTCCCAGAATCGCATAAATATAAAAACAGAATAAAAGCTTTACAAATATAAAGAAACATTTATACCAGAGCCCTACTTTGTCAATTTTTGAGCCAGATAGGACAACTTTTCTTTTTACTGACGCAAGTACCTTTGGTGTTGGAGCAATTTTAAAAGAAACTCAAGATAATGGCGAATTGACCCTGTGGTATACTTCTCCAAGAAATTCACTCCAGCACAAGCAATATATCTGGAATGATTGGAAATAAAAGAAGCTATACGGTATTGGCAACATTAGTTAATAGGACATAAGTTCCAAGTAGTTTCTGATCACAAACCTTTGGTAAATCTAAAAATTAAAGCCAGAACAGATGAGGAGCTGGGAGATTTAGTGTACTATTTATCACAATACGATTTTACATTAAGATACGCTCCAGGAAAGACAAATCAAGAAGCAGATGCTCTTTTAAGGAACTTAGTGCTAGAAACTTTTGAGAATTGTGATGATGTACTTCAAGTAGTGAACTAAGTCGATTTAATTTTTAAGAAATTAAGGGGCAGAGAACGTATATTTGTATCGAAAGATTTGGGATTATTTTTAATTTAAAAAATTCACATATACTATAGACACATAGGAATAAGTCACATGGCAGCCAAGATGAGATTTTTTTATTATTTCAAAAATATGGAAAAATTGATGAAAGAATTTTACAAACATTGTGAAAAGTGCAAAAAGAACAAATCCAGAAGAGCTTGTGAAATTGGACTTCTGTCTCAATTAGGCCCAGCACAAGAACCTTATGAAATCGTGTCTCTCGACACTATTGGTGGTTTCTATAAGTAGTTTATATACCTGTTGAAAGTATGTTGTAAAACCTGATACATTTTCTTCAATCCAGCTATTTATTTCTATATTTGGTGTGCCAAAATTGATTTTGCATTTAGCTAATGTTTCTATTACATCTTTGAAATTTTGAAGTTCAATGGAATGTTCAACAATGCAAACTGCAAAACATTATTTAAGTTAGAAAGTTAGACATAAAAATAAAAATATTTGATATCCAAAATTACTTATAATAAATACCAGAGACTTGTTGATGATTTATTCCTATTCTGTGTTTGATTCTTCGAATTTCATTTATAACCATTAAAATGGATGAAACCCTTTCAAGCAATTCCTTATGTGTTTTCTGAAACTAAAAGTGTCATATTTTTCAAAGATTTATAAAGAATTAGTGACAGATATAAACTAAGCATATTGTTCAAAATATCATATTTTTTTTCTCTAAGGAGATACCAATGGAACTTCTATTTCGCCAAGATACTACTTTAATGATCACTTTAAAATGAATTAAAATTGGATCCGAACCGCAAAGTAATATACAGAATGTAACTTAATTGTTGTATAAAACTTAAATTAAATAATTTAATAGTTTAAAACTTAAGTAACTTAATAGTTACATCAAATTTGAATGAGAATAAGAGGCAAAAAGTTATACAGAGATTTTGATCTTGTTTAAAAATTGTTCTAATCCAAGAGCATCAACATTATGTTTACTTATTTATTACAGAAAATTAACACTATTATCTATAGCTTGCAATCCTAAAATAATTCTTCTTTGTTTCTCAAACTTTTACACAGGAAGGCAATGATCCTTAGACCCTCTAGAAATTTATTTGTTCTTCCATGATTTTTTATAAGTCTGATCAGTTTTACTAACAAGAAGAGGTTACAGACGTGGGGTGACCAATTTAAATGAAACTTTTTTTGGTGATACTAGATCGAAAAATATTAGACCCATGTCGAAGGGTCTTGGCTTGTTTTCTGAATTTACTCTGCATGGATATATAAGTTATTATATATCAATCGATTTTTTTTTTTAAATAAGAAAAACATATTGCTAATTTCATCAAACGAATTATAAGGTATAATAAATTACAAAAACCCATAGACGCTTCCAGTAATGTAAGCCAAGTAAACTCGAAATAGGCCAAGAAAAACCAAGGTTTTTCTTCAAACTTGAAGTCACTAAATTATTGCTCTTCAAAACTACATAGATAACTTTTATTTGAACTCATTTTAATGCTTGGATCAGTTCTATTTGTTTCATATTGAACTCATACTTTATCTATATACCAAATATATATATTGTTTTCTTAATCGGAAGGGTATCAAAAGTAATATTATATGCACAAAATATAGTATTTTAACAAGATTCAATCCGATAATAAGAAGAAATCATGTATTGTACATATTATACACATATTACACCATAAATTATATTTTTTTGAGATAAAAAAGATGATATTTATTTTCACACTAAAGAACCCTTAAATAAGAATTTTCATTGCAATCGAAAAGTATAAATTTTTTGCTCAATATGCTGCCTTATATTAATAGCTCTTGTGAGATCCACCTATGTTTATAGATTTATAGTAGATATTAGTAAAGCACAAGACATTTATTTTTCTATTGTAATGGAAATTTCCTTAATATTTAAATATATTTTAATATCTACTGTTTTTTTTTTTGGCAGTTCTTTGGTGTGCCGGTTTTTTATCTCAAAAAAATATATTTCATGGTGTAATATGTACAATACATGCTTTATTCTTATTATCAGATTAAATCTTGATAAAATACTATATTTTATTCATATGCTTTAGATACCCGTCCGGTTAAGAAAATAAAAAAATATATATCTGGCATACAGATATAGTATTTGTTCAATATTGAAACAAATAGAACTGATCTAAGCAGTAAAGTGGGTTCAAATATTTACTTAAGGAGAAACAAAGTAGAGATTTGTATTTCACACCTCAAAAAACCCTTAAATACGAATTTTCATACCAATGAAAAATGCTGGTGGACCTTAATTTTTTTTTTTTTAAATTAGAATGAATTTTGGGGCCTGTAATATAAAAAAAAATCTGGTGCGCACAACACACAACTTTCACTTACCGCTCTACTTTGAATATAAACTACTTTCTGACAATATTAGGCTATGTATAAAAATTTGTATGCAGTTTGAGTGCATTTTAAATGGAGCTAAAGCATAAAGCTTACAGATAACAAATCATTAAGACCATCGAAATTACAAAAACAATATTTATCATATCGATGGTAGATAGTAAAAATCAAGTTACTCCATCTGCTTTTACAAACCACATAACTTCAGTGTCTGATCTATGTGTGTCTTTCAGTTGACCGAATTACTAACTCCAATTTCAACATTTTTAAGTAATGTCATTTAAGTGATATTTCTAGTTGAAAAGATTATATTTATACAGACAGTGAGTAAGTTGATTCCAGAGTAGGTGATTGCAGTGCTGAAATATAGAAATGTGAATAAAGGTATAAATTTTCCTGCTAGAAACATCACTAAAATCAATAATGAAGAATATTGAAATTGGAATCAGTCATTCTGTCAACTGAAAGGCTCATATATGCCAAGAGAGATTTGAAAGTACATCTGAATATTTAACCTATAAATGATTATGAATTGTAGAACTATTAGTTATTAAACTGTTATTTTCTATTGTAAACTTTACAATTCTATTTTAAAGTTTACTAAAATGAAATTACGTGATTTTCATTGCCTGTCATGGATAGATTAAAAGTTGTCACACTAATTGTAAGTGGATAATGTTGGGATTTCACAAAGGGAAAATCCATCAAATTATTCACTAATTTAATTTTCTAAACAGTGGACTTGATGATTTTTTATAATAAACTGTCAATAAATACCTAATTATTTTAATATAATATCTGATCAAAGAATTATTAAACAGTAGAGAATGTATTTAAGGTTATAATCATATCCATGAAATATTTTTATATTTCACTTCTTCATTCACTCAAGTACAATGAAATAGTATTTTAAACAATGTCCTTGCCGATGTTTTAAAATCGATGGATTTTTATGGATGCTTTAAATGCTTCAAACGTAAAAAAAAATTTTTAAAGTTTACATTTAGTAAGAAAATACCATTTAATTTCCTTAAAAACATGTGATTTACGTTAAATAATGTCAATTTTCAGAAATTATTATTTATATTTTTTTATCACTCTCCGTTGCCTTTTACAACATTATTTATTTGATATTATTTTATCTAAAATTCTCCACTTTCCAACAATATATTATAAGTGTAGATTCTGACTGTAATATCTGGAGATTGATTTTCTTCAGTTTCCAATTATCATATTCTTTCAAAATTCGTATTTAGCCATTTTTTATAGTTACTGTTGAAAACAGGGATTTTTTTTTTTTTTTTTTTAAATAAACCATATCAAAGGTACTTTAGAGGAAGAAGTATATGAATATTGAACATTTAAGTCCTGTAAAGTGACATAAATGGGGATAAGAACTAAATGATATTAAAGACCACTTAATTATGCAATGATGCACTGAGTTCAATGAAAATCGATAGAGCCATTTGGAAAATTTTAAAAATGTGTTTTACTGTTGATATAATGTGGCACTTCCGGTAAGCCAATTTTAAGGAAAAAGTTCCTGTAACATCTGAGTCATATACCTATCTTAAATATGTAATATCAGTTTCGTAGAACTTTTCGCTTTTGAGCTAGACTGTTCACATACATATATACACACACACACACACACACACACACACAAAATCATTTTGCAGGACTTGGTTATTAGAACTCAGGGGGCCTCAAAACACGTATTTCCGTTGAAAACTCAAATTCAAAAATTTTCATGACCACAATATTCATCCTTACTATATATTACATATATAGGTAAGTGAAAACAAAAATAAAAATGTTTGGAGATTTATTTATTTATTCCTTACAAAGGCATGAAATCCAAAAGTTATCCACATAGTTTTGAAGAGCAATAATTTAGGTTTCCAATGGTTGTAGTGACGTCGACATCTTTGATAAAATCACATCCAAAAATTAATATTTTGTTATTTCAAAATAAACTCGTATTTAAGAGTTTTAGTGGATCCTAAAAACGAAGCTGAATTGTTTTTTCATGACAAAAATTTACTTGGCCTACCTTACTGGAAGTGTCTATGGGTTTTTGTAATTTATTATACCTTATAATACGTTTAATACAATTGGCAATATGTTTTTCATATTTTACACAAAAAACAAATCGATTGATGTATAATAACATATATATCCAAATTATATATTGTCAATATACAAATTACAAATAAAACTACAAAATGATTATTGGGCATTCCCAGAGGAAGTGATAGTTTGTCAGACAAGTTTACTTTTTTTTACTGTTGCTTCTGAATTTATCTGAAACTGAATTTTTCAATATTCTGATTAATCAGTTCTTTCAATCAAATATTTCAACAGTCAACCCATTATCCAAACTTCCATATTTTGAATGAAGTTTATCTCAGAGTGAATCAAGAGGTTGTGTCCTAATTTCACCTCAATATAACTCAAGAAATTTGATTTCATAGATTTACAAAACTTTAGTGAATTACCTTAAAAAATCTAGGATATAGGAATCTAGTCTCCATGTTAACATACAACTTATTAACTATTAAACCATAAATGTGATTACATTTTCATTATATGAAGGGTATGAAGTTTCCATAATAAAACCATTTTTTTTAATTGGCAAACTTTGGTAAAGATGTTCAGTCAAAAATGGCATAAATGGTGACATACACTTCAAGCTGGTAACCAAAGTGTAAACAAGAGTCTGCAAGGCACTTCTAGATTCAGCACTTGAACCTTTTTGGAGTGTTGGTTTAATGTATTCCTAAAAATAAATCACTATCAAATATTTTCTGAAAAAACAATCAATAATACTTTTAATAAGCTGTTGAATTTCTAAATGCAGAAAAGTCAACATTTAAAGATTTGGAAAACCTTAATTTCAGTTCTTTACATTGTAATTTATTTTGTTGAGATTATTAAAATTGTTTATTCAATTTTCTAAAAGTAAAAGTCACAGAATATTAGCAGATTATTTTATACCGATAGCAAACTTTATCATTATTTAGTACCTTATATTTTTATTTATAGATATTCGTATAAATAGGAATATTTTTGAATATGTCAAGAAATGAAAATAGTTAGAGAGTGAAAATGAAGTTGTTGTATTTATGTTTTTTTGCAGTTGCTCATATGTTGGTTTATTCTTGTTTTTTTAATTCTTGGAAGTTTTTACTATGTATAACATTACAATTTTGACATATGACCTTCTTGATCATGTTTTGATTTTCGGTTGCCATTTCATCTTTCATTACTAGTTAAACAATTCTACATTTTACTGTTATTATACATTCTGATTTTTTTTTTTTTTACTTTTTCTGTTAGGCCAGATATATAATTTATTTTAATGTATTGTTTTATCTGCTTATTATTACCGTGTTTATTTTCTCACTTATTGTTTTCTTTATTTCGATTTTTAAATAGTTTGTTATTACTTCTTTGGAAGTCTTCAAACAAATTAAATTTTTATAAAAATGATAAATGTTTTAATTTAAAAGTGTTTTTACCCTCTTAATAGTAAACTTACTTAACCTTCCATAACTCCAAGACATTGTAGATGTAATACATATTTAAATTAGCATACTTTTCAATTGACAACAAGCCTAGTGAATAACCTGTTGTGTTAAAATGTTTTTATCTTCTGAATAATGTTCCCTTATTGTTTAAATTTCACTTCTTTGTTATTCACTTTAGTCTTTAATCTTTATGGTTAACTTAACTTGTAAGAGCCATTACTTAAACACTAGAAAGCTAAGTGTATCTGTGAAAATTGTTCTGATATTGGAATTCTTCACTTTTTTTTAGTAATTTAATTTAACATCCCATATTATACAATTCCTTTTTGTTTTATATTTGTTACTTTTATCTCAGAAAATAGCAAAATATCATATTTTTTATCGTTATATTGCTGAAAAACAAAGTTTTGCTCAATCAGCTTAAGCCCAGATGGCATTGCATGGTATGTGAGAATGCTATGGTACTATTTCGCATCCAGTTTTTTATCTATCCATAAGAAGTCTCCAACTCCAGATCTAGGAACACACTCCCAAACAATCAGGAAGCCACTTCCGTGTTTCACTGTTGGTTGCAAACATTCATCCGAAAATTCCAATTCAAATCTTCTCTAACATACTGCTGCCTCCTTCCTGAACCAAACATTTACAATGTTTATTCATCTCTCCATAAAAAATTTTCCATTCTTCTTCTGTCCAATTTTTGCATTCTTTGGCAAACTTAAGTCCCTTTCACTTGTGTAAAGATAGAAAAAATGGTTTTCTTCTGGCAACACAACCTTCAAGGACAAATAATAGGGGTTTCCTTCTGATCAAGGAGAACAAAATTTGGGTCCTTATAGCATCAAGCTATTTCCTGAGCCAGTTCTCTGCTGCTGGTATAAAGATAGAAAGAAAAAATATATGAACCAATAATTAAAGTACATACAGATATCCTTTTTCACCTATCTATTTCATCTTTATTTTTCTCTTAAAATCTTCATGATTACATTTGCCAATGTTATAAAATAAAATGTCATATATTAATATGGCTAGGGACATTAGGAAAATAAATCTAAATTCTCTGAAAATATAAAATTTTCTATTAAAACCACTCTCGTATTTCTAAAACAAGGAAGATACTTACAATATAAATATCACATAATTCTAAGTGAATAAAATTTCTTAGTGAAGATGTAGATAGATGAAAATCACCATTTTTAATTCCTTCATTCACTACATAAATTGAGTAATTTAGCTTAGCCAAGATCCATTTTTCCATCAATGTACAAGGTTGATGATTCTCACATAAATCAAGCATGAGAAATTCAGAAGTTAAGTTCATTTTTTTTAGCCACAAATTAGCAAAATAACATGCTTGCCATATTTTATTGCAAAAATGTTTATTTCTAATACACTGCTTTAGGTCGAAGTTAATGTACTGGCCTAAAAGTGAAAAATTAAATAAACTTAATTTAAACAGAAAAACAAAAATGGTATAGCTTAAAAAAAAAAAAAATGAAAACAACCAACTTTTAATATTATTAGAAAGTAAAGTAAACCGTAAAGCATCAACACCACATTCAGATATTCCTTCTGGATAAAGATTTCTTAAGGATGTATAAGCCTTTTGTTTTTCTTCACTACTTAGCAAACTATTTTCAATCGTACAATGAAGTTCCTGAAAAAGTAAAATATAACAGAAAACTATTAATATTACTTCGAAATAGAAGTTTGTTTAATGTTTGATACTCACCAAATATTTACAGAGTTACTGAATACTACAGAGAAAATTTTATGCACTTATTACTTGGTTGAATCTCGATAGCAAGATAGCAACACTCTGTAGTCAAGATGAAAGGTTTTATATTTGTTATTGAGCATAGTTCAAACTAATGTTATTTTGGAAGAAGTTAGTCGGGAATGCAGTAAAAAAATACCATATTCTATAATAGTATATTTATTTCATTGTCCAATGTTTCGACCTACGTTGTTGGTCTTCCTCAGGGCTATATAAGACAAAAACAATTCTTAATAGTTCTTTGACTTTATATGAACAATATATAATACTTCTTGAACGCACCCCCGACTAACCTCTTCTGAAATTGAATCCACAGTCAACCATCTCTAGATCATTATAATGTTATTGTGCTTCAGGTTGTTTTTCTTGTTCATTAGTTGTATATAATTCTTGAGTAAATTATCTAATAAATATGAACAGTGGACTCTAGCTAATCCAAACTAAATCATTTCATAAATAAAAAATCAATTTAAAACAAAAATTATAAATAGAGGAAAGAGATGGTCTGAGGTGGTGGTCATAAAAAACTATTTTATACCACAATCACTAACCAATCCTTTCTTATGAAAAATCTCTTTCCTATATTCCTATAGTCAGATAACATAAAAAAATTCACTATTTCAAACTTTTGACTGCAAGACCTGACCTCATAATGGGTGTTTCTTCCCGATGGCAGGTCCTAAAGTCTAAAAAGACGTTCGGAAAAACTTATTTTTTCCCCCCTTAAATTTGTTTAACATACTATTTTGAGTCACCTGAAAGCTTTAAAATCGTTTTATTTAATTTTAGATTCATCTGCAATCTGCAACTGATAGCTTCCAAATGGTGGAAGCAGGACTTTCCCCTACTGCTAGAAGTTGGTATAGCCGAGGTGGGAAGGCAGGTACCCTGTTCGCAACCAACGTGCTAAGTCCCATAACAAACTCTCTTACCATTTCACAAACTTGAAAATCTTACACCGATCTAATGTAGTTTACCAGATGCTTTACTCAACTCCTAATTGCAATAGTTCATATATTGGTGAAACTAAAAACCATCTCAAAATCCGTATCTTCCAATATAAAACATTTAAAGCTTCTCAGAACCCTTCCACTTCCGAAATATCAGAACACATCTGGACCCTCAACCATGATTTTGATTTTGAAAAACCTCCATCTATGGTTATGGTTCCTAACCACGAAAAAAGACTTGTTTCCATAATACATATACATCCAAATGGAACAGAATCCAGTTAATCATAAAATTGATAAAAATTGTATTGCCTTAACATATAGAAACATATTAAACCTTATCAGTCAAATATATATATATATATGCCTATCTCAAATCTCTAGGCAACTAGCGGTGCTGTTACACACGCTTTAGCCTATTCGGCCACCCCGCCCCATCGGATCTGGAGATGTGGTGAGTAGGGAAAAAAGGAACTATGAAGTGATAAAGGGAGAAAACCTGTTTTTCTCCCTTTATCACTTCATAGGTTTTCTCCCTTTATCACTTCATAGTTCCTTTTTTCCCTACTCACCACATCTCCAGATCCGATGGGGCGGAGTGGCCAAATAGGCTAAAGCGTGTGTAACAGCACCGCTAGTTGCCTGGCAACCGGATAACAGAGATTTGAGATGATATAAAAAGTACGAGTTCGCGTCCCGGTGCCGGAAGGGATTTTAAATTTCCCCGCCCTCACCCCCCCGGCCCGGGAAAATCCCGTATAGCCTAAAAGGCGAGGTAGGGAAGAACAAAAAAAAAAAAAAAAAAAATCTCCAGATCCGATACCTGGTTGGATCTATTATTGATTCTGCTCAAAACCTTCTTTCCTCTTCTCAGTAACCAATCTCCTTTATATGACATGATCCAAATATCTTTTAATATCCAAACTCCTCTTATGAAACCCAGAACTTTTACATACAGCAACCTGAATTTCCTCACAAGTGAAAAAAATCCTAACCAATGTTGAATCACTTGATTGGAATAGAATATATTCCCGTTCATCTATTGACAATATGGTTGACATTTTCTCTTCCATCCTCCTTAGTATCTTTGACATCCATGCCCCCCTCAAAACTACTACCGTTCAGCACCTTGGATCTGTTAAAAAATTAAGGATTTGCAAAAGAGGAGTGATGATGCCTGCAGATGGTTCAGGAGTACTAGGCATGCTGACGACTATCAAGCATTAAAGGTGATCTGCAACTTGACACAAACAAGGATTTGGAGAGCGAGCTAAAGCTAATTAAGAAAGGGCTTGGGAATGCTGAGTTTTAGCAGCATTTAACCTCAATCCACTTGAGTCAAGATCAAAAACTTCCTCGTTTAATAAATAAGTTTCAAGTATTAATTAAGCTGAGGTTTATTAGGCAAAAACTTGAGATTCACCTCAAGTTGTATAATAAAATGATGTGATTTATAATCCTGTCACCTAAAAGTAGAAATGGTTTCAGCAAAAATCACTACAATTAAGTGTTACAAAGCTTTTATTTTTTTTTTTATCAACTCGGATGTATTATAATAAACATAATTGCCTGAAAAAGTTTTTATTTATGGAAATAAATAAATTAAAAATAATAATATATTTACATAAAAATATTTTTACAATAATATTAATCACTGTTCTAAATTCACTTAAATTTATTTATTTAAACTATTTTCTAGTGAAATATAATTTATGTACTTAAAACTCGTAGTTAGTTGTTTTTCAATATTCGAAACTACCATTGTATTAATAATACAATTTTTCACTGATGATTAATTTAATGAAAATCTTAATTATATCTATTGATAAAGAAATTGAGAAAAAAATAGTTACAAATTTTAATATGTACATAGCTTGTTTTTTTTTATCTCTGGCATTAATCTTCTACCCTCTCCTCTGGCTATATAGCTGAAAAGTCAGGGAAGGGGAGGTAAAAAAAAAAGGTTTACTTACAGTAGTGGATTTTTATGGAGATATAAGAAGCATGCCACTGCTGTAAATACCTGTAGTGCCTAACAGACAGGATGGGGTAAAAAATAAAATAAAATAAATGTTTAGATTTAACAAGGTATTTTTTATCTTAACCTTTTAGAAACAATGACCGGACAGGATGGAATAACTTTAAGGATGATACCAGGCAATACTTATCCTTGCCACAATAACGGAATACTTTTCCTCAACTCGACTCACCACTTCAGTCTTTTTATTTAGGGCATTGTTGAAAACTTCTTTCTTATTTATTTTGTTTAACTTTTATACAATTGAAATGTATTTTTATAACATGACCAATACAATTTTTTTTTTTATAAAATATGAACTTCTATTTTTTAAACAATTGACGTTTCATACAGATATAAAATAGATGTTATTTCTAAATACAAAAAAATACTGAAATAAGTTATATGCTGTAATATATTACATTGAACAGAAGTAATTAAAATAAAACATTATACTATGAATTTATTCTTTTCTAAAAAATACTGGTTAAAAATTATTTATTTAATCTTATTGTGCAATCGATGTTATACATGTACCAGATAGTTTAAAAGGAGAATTCATCACTGAGCACCCTACTGTTTAACGAGAAGCCCATAAGACTTCCGAATCATATGTTCGTCCACCATCATCAGGGAACAGTCCCATCTCAATTCAGAAATGAGTCCACTGTTGCCTGGGCTCGGTTCCCTATCAACTCACATATGAGTCTACAGTCATAAAAGGGTTAGTTATTATCAAGGTGTAATATAAGTGTATGCACTAAAACACAATTTTTAAATAAATATAAACAATTTAGGTTCCTTACCTTAAGACTTTTCCCATTTATAACATCTTCTGGAGCTATTACATTTCCCAAACTTTTCGACATCTTTCTTCCTTGTGAATCACATATAATTCCATGAAGAAACACCTCCTAATAACAACAAAATTAATCATAAACTATTACTTTAGCAAAAAAGTATAATCATATAAAAAAAGTTTGAAATCTATCTCATAGATAAATAAAGAACCTTTTAGGAAAGATCCAAAACAGAGGAATGGAAGAAGTGTAAGTAATGTGAATGAAAAAGATAAAATGATAAATAATAATACTAATAATGTAAGATTTGTATTGACCACACTCCCAACTGACTTCTTCTTAAACAGCTATACTCATTTATCATTTTTATTCACACAATTACCCTTCTATCTATCTCCTTTTAGCCCAGTAATCTTGTACATCTTCAGTTGTTTTGAATGGGAGTAAAAGGTTTCTTTTCATTTCCTTGTATGACTGAGATGTAAAATCCAAGTTTTTGACCTCGACATTTCCTCCTCCCTCCGATCACTTTTGAATATCTCAGAAACTGCTATACTGTCGCATTTTTCTCCCCCATTTTATCTATGAAGCAGCAAGTTTTTGACAAAAATCACAGGATACTTTTTTAAACTAGATTAAATATACTACAATTTAAGACCAGAACAGGCTCGGTAAATCGAATAGTTTACGAGATAAAGGTTTATAAAGTTTGGAAAATTTTATTTTTTATTTAAATTACTTTTTATGTTTGATCATATGAAAGTGTCTTTTATCTTCAACAACCTGTCTGATATGAGTCAGTGAAGTAAATATTTATTCATTTTAATATTTTGAAGGAGGGAAAGTTTTGGTGGTAGAGGATAGACCGTGGGGCAGACCACCCCTTCCACATACTATAAATTGCATATTGTTGTGTTCCTTGTAATTATATATTTAAAAATAGCCAATGTTTCCACAAAAAAAAGTTGCGGCACTGTCGCAAAATGACATCCAAACATGGCGGAATTGTGACTTTTACTTGAGTTAGTTTTTTGGTCACTGAGATTCAGCAATTGGTTTAATTTGATCATAATTGATCTTTTATTAAAGCTGGATAGCCTAAGAATAATAAACCATAAATAAAAAAAAATTATAAAAATAATTGGCCTTGGCAATAAAAAGTACCACTAAAGTCAATTTTTTGAAGTCAATCAAACTAAAGTTGAAAATCAAGCGTCATTTATAATTAAACGGCCAACAATAATGAAAAACTCCTTGAAATAAAACATCTAGAGAATACATATATATTTCAAAATCACTGAATAATTTTCAACATATTTGAAACGGTTCTTTAAAAAGTATACTTAATCAGCGGAAAAGTGACATTGGCGTAGGTGCTTACAGTCCTCTGCAACCTCATTCAGTTCTTATAAATGGCATAGTTGTAGTGCCATTCTGTTTATCAAATACTCCTTACACTGAATAATGTTTCCATCAGTACCTTGTTACATTTTCAAAGATTTTGGATCTTCCTTATTTACTCCTTCAAAATAATAAATTAAATAAATGTTTACTACACTAAACTCTTATAAGGCAGGTTATTGAAGACATAAAGATAAGAATTAGCTTAACATTTTCAAGTTTCAAAAATTTCATTTTTTTTTTTTTTTTTTTTCTTTCTTCCCTACCTCGCCTTTTAGGCTATACGGGATTTTCCCGGGCCGGGGGGTGAGGGCGGGAAATTTTAAATTCCCCTCCGGCACCGGGACGCGAACTCGTACTTTTTATATCATCTCAAATCTCTGTTATCCGGTTGCCAGGCAACTAGCGGTGTTCTGCACACGCTTTAGTCTATTCGGCCACCCCGCCCCCCTCAAAAATTTCATTTACAATTTCTGTATGCATTTGATGTAAATTGGGTTAAATAATTTTTTAATTTAAATTTCAATCTTCTGGTAGTGAAAAGTGATCTCCCTTCCTACCACCAAACCTTCCCAACCTTCTCCTTTCTTCAAAATGTTAAAATGGAATTAAAATAAAATAAAAATTTCCTCCACTGAATCATATAAGACTGAATTAAAGATATAAAGACGATTGCTTATGATCAACCATGAAAAATAGTTTACAATTTCCAGAACTTTGAAAACCGGTATCTTAAAAATGATTAAACTTACCGAACCCGTTTTGGTCTAAAATTGTACCATATTTAATCTAGTTGAAAACTGCATAGAATTTTTTTTTTTGGTCAAAAACATACTTCTTCATGGTCAAAATGGGAGAACAGAAAAAGTGAGGAAATATAAAAGATTTTTGGGATTTTCAAAAGTGATCCGAAGGGGGGGGGGAAGATGCCGAGGTCGAAAACTTGGATTTTGCATCTCAGTCACATCCCATACAAGAAATAAAAAAGAAACCTTCTACCTCCATTCGGTGCAACTTGGACTCCTCTTTTCATGACAAGGTTACTGGGCTATTTGGCATCCTGACCAACTTTTGGTTAACTTAAAACAAAAACTTTAATGATATCTACATTTTAATGGTACCAGCCAGCTCATTATTAAAATGTTATAGGGGAAAATCCCCAGTTATCAACACCCATTAGTCATAAGAATACCATCATAAAAATATTAGAAATTGTTTAAAACGATCAAAAGCCAGTCTTTCAAAGTGCAAATCTCTTTTGTTCTAGCATATCTTAGCATCTTTCACTATGTATCGCATATTTGAAGCATGTTTATCTTGTTCTAATAATCAAAACAGACCCTGAGGTAAGGTGTTCCTCAAAAGGTGTCACCCAAAAAGGACATTCCTTACAATTTTGCTGAGAAACACAGATTTACTTTTTGACAAATTGCAAGATATAAACAGATACTTTTAAGTATTTATTTTTTCCATCCTATCCTGAATGTACCTATTAATTAAAAATATAAAAAAGCTTAAAATTTTAATTTTTATATCATCCTAAAAAGTTATCAAAAACTGGTCCATGAGTAATAGAAATATTCAGTTTTGGGCACCCATATTACCAAAAACTGAACATTCATCGATATTCAAAACCTTCAAATTTAAAATTTTGCCAGCGCGACGTCCCCTACCAACTTTATCAAAGATTTTTTTGGTATCAGGGGAAGTGCAACTTCATTCTGACTTATAAAAAAAAATCATCCTCAAAGAATATGATTTTTATTAACTTAGTTTCTCACTTTGAGTTGGAACAATAGAACAGAGGATAGACATTACAATGGCGTATGATTATGGACTATGGAAAAATGGTGCTAAAAACTGGTAAATAAAGGTATTTTTACATTCTACAATTAAAAATTAAATGAAAGGTCATGTTTCTCAAGTACATTCATGGATTAGAGATTCTTACTTTTTTAACAGATTCAGCATTGTTGAACCAAATACCCATGCAATTTAAAACAGGTTAAAAACCAATCGGTTACTTTAATTGTTGAAGACTGAAAGGGTTTTACCATACTTATTCAACCAAACTTACTTTCAGTTTTCAAGTCAGTAACAATAATACTTTATCAAATCATGTTCTTAATCATTATCGCTTATTCATTGAGTTCACTCATAAATTGACAAAAAAAAAAAAATTAAAATAAAACCAAAATCAACCAAAGAAAAAGATTTCATAAATAATTACCTTAAATGGCAATTGATTTGTCAATTCTAATCCCAGCATAACCATTCTGGCTACCCAAAAAAATAGTATATCATTTCCTGTTATTAAAGTGTTAAGAGGATAATATTTTTTATATTGTTCAGTCTGAAAATAAATAAGTAAATAATCATCAAATAATAAAATAAATTGTTAAATAAAGGTGAGAGAACATAACTTCTGTTTTAACCAGTTGATCAGAGATATACAAATTTCAAAGGGACATATTAACAGAAATATTGAATATATCACTTATGAAATAAATATTTCACTATGCATATGAAAACAGGAAAGAACAAAGACAAAGAATGTGCAATGTAAAAATTACAATTACGATTCAGTTATTTTTTTTAAAAAGTCTATCATTTTTTTTTTTTTCAAATTTTACAGAATTTTTAAATACAAAATATTTCCTTTTATTCACAATATTTCTCACTTCTTCTTCAGGGCAAAAAAAAAAATCTCCTTTTATTTATTTTTATTTTTTATCACTGAAACACACTTAACTCCACATTCTAAATTCTACATTCCTGGTTACAGAATATACAGAACTGATCCCCCAGACAATACAGCTCACGGCAGCACAGCGATACTAATTAAAACATCACTAAAGCACCACTCACTACATTTATCCATTTCACCTGACATACAATCTACAGCCATTACACTATACACCCAAAACCAAACCATTACCTTTGCATCAGTGTACTGTACTCCGAGGTACATGCTCACACCTGTGATGATTTGCAATTTCTTCAGTCCTCTCGAGAGATGTTTTATTGCAGGTGGCAATTACAATGCCAAACATCAGTCCTGGAGATCACGACTTTGTACTCCTAGAGGAAGAAACCTTAAGTCTGCCATCCATCAGTGTTCATTAAATACGATCTCACCTGATACACCACCAGTTTAACTTACTGGCCAACTTTAAGACAAAAAACAGAACAGCCAGACCTACTTGACTACTTGATTGACACTAAAGGACTAAGGACTGCTATAAATGCCATATACTATAAATGCAAGCTCCGATCTTTGTTCTGATCATTCTCTTCTCAGCTTAGTATTGTGTGATGAGCCATGTACTACAATGAAACGACCATCTCTCGTAGAAGGAATTATCGATTGGGATAGATATTGAGATAATCTAAACGGAATGCTCTCTATTCCAATGTCTCTAAGGAATGAATATCAAGTTGAAGAACCTGTGGATAAATACACAAACAGCATTCAACAAGCTATATTGTCTTCTTCTGTCCGAAGATCCAATAGAAATGAATGGCTTCTAACTTATCCTCAGTACATAAGAGATTTGATCAGGGCAAGGAGAAGAGCTCGCAAAGTATGGCTAACTGGTCGACTGTCATCTGACAAACGGACGTTCAATAGACTTAACAATGAACTAAAACAACATATTCAAAGTTTTAAAACTACAATTTACCTTAGAAATCTCTCTGCTGACAATGGGAGCTTATGGAAGCATACAAAAAAACTTGTAAATCATTGTGAAGTGTCCTCTCCGAAATGAAGATGGTTCCTGGGCCGTGCCAGAAATAGAAAAATCTGAGCTATTCGCTATCCATCTTTCTTCTGTTTTTACTCCACATACTGACTTCACCAACATTGAACACGAGGTACAAGTACTAAACACTTTAGACATTCCACTACAATTGGAATTACCTACAGCTTGTTTCACTTCGAAACTTGTTACAGAACAATTTAGACAATTACCTAAAAAGAAAGCCCCCGGCCTTGACCTGATAACTGCTCAAGTGCTCCAGAAAATTCCTAGAAAAGCTCTTGTTTACTTAATATCTATTTACAATGGAATACTTAGAACGACCAAATTTCCTATACAATGGAAATACTCATACATAACAATGATTCATAAACCAAACAAAGACAAATACAACACTTCATCATATAGGCCAATTAGTCTACTCCTAATATGTTCTAAAATCTTTGAAAAACTACTGTTCAAAAGACTTGTTAATATACTGACGGATGGAAAAATAATACCTGACCATCAATTTGGATTCCGACCACAACATTTAACCTTCCAACAATTACAGAGAGTGACTGACTACATTGCAACGGCACTGGAGCAAAAATTGTATGCAACTGGAGAATTTCTGGATGTCGCTCAAGCATTCGATAGAGTCTGCCATAAGGGTCTTCTCTACAAACTTAAGACGATACTCCCTCCTACCTACTATCTTATCCTTCAATCCTTTCTTACTGACAGATTTTTCTCTGTCTGCCAAGGCTCAATAAGAATTCTTCAATAAAACCAGCCTTAGCAGGAGTTCCTCAGGGGTCAGTACTCTCTCCGCTTTTATACATCATATACACACACGACATTCCTAACAGCGCCAGAACTCTTATAGCTACTTACGCAGATGATACAGCTATTCTAACAAGACATAAAAACCCAATACACGCCTCACAGACTTTACAACATCATTTAACCAAACTAAACGATTGGTGCAAACTCTGGAAAATTCGACTCAACCAAGAAAAATCACAACACATCACTTTCACTCTTCGACCTGGAACATGCCCTCCTATTTACCTTGACAATGCCGAAATTCCTCAAACAGACAAAATACAATATCTTGGACTGACATTCGATAGAAGAATGACATGGGGCTCACATATCAACAAAAAAAGAAAAACTTTAAACCTCAGACTATGACTGTTATACTCACTTCTCTCAAGAAGCTCAAAATTAAACTTAAAACAAAAAAATAACACTTACGATTACCTACTTAAGCCCATAGGGACCTACGCTTCACAAATTTACAAGACAGCCAAAACGACCCACATACAAAAACTACAAACTTTTCAATCCAAAACTTTCAGGACTATAACTAAAGCTCCATGGTATGTCACAAACATTACATTACATAAAGACCTTCAAATGCCAACAATTAACGCTCACATACGGACACACTACAAGGGATTTCACAATAACATACATGGACATACTAACACACTTATACAAAGTATGGCTACATTTACAATGCCCGAAAACACACTTAGGAGGCTCAAAAGAAGCTGGATGAGGGATTTCCTCGCTTAAAAAGATGCTAAAATCAAGACAGGAAGAGATGCCACTGGGCATTCCTCTCCATCATGCCGATCAAGCCACTACCTGTATACTCTTACCAACAGCAGAACCACTAATTGTCATTGCTTGCGACAGATGTAGGTAAAGAAATAAAGTTAAAAAAAAACAAAATATTTTTTTATGAGATCATTCGTAGGGCATTTGAAGATTCTTTTTATACATTCACTTACCTATATATGAAATGTATAGTAAGGGAAAGTATTACGATCATGAAAATTTTCGAATCTGAATTTTCAACAGAAAGTCTTCAAAATATCTTCCTCTAATGTACCTTTATTTAATTTGGTTTATTGTAAATAATTAACTATCTTTCATTGTTAGGAGTCATGAAAAAAGGCTAAATATAACTTTTGAAAGAATTGATAGTTGAATAAAGGAGATAAAAGAAAAACGCATATCCAGGTCGAAAATGAATCTCCGGAAATAATAGTCAGACGGTAAACGTATAATATATCGTTGGAAAGCAGAGAATTTTAGAAAAAATAATATCTAATAAATAAAGTTGTAGAATGTAATAGAGTGACGAAAAAATATAAATAATAATTTCTGAAAACTAACATTATTTAACATAAATCACATGTTTCCAAGGAAATTAAATAAAATTTTCTTACTAAATGTAAACTTTAAAATTTTTTTTTTAAGTTAAAAAAAAAGTATTTAAAATACACTGAATCAAGCCAATGCCGTTGTTTAAAATACTATTTCATTGTCCTTGTGTGAAAAAAGAAGTGAAGTATAAAAATATATCATGGATATGTTTATAACCTTAAATACATTTACTGTAGTTCAATAACTCTAGATCTGATAATATATTTAAATAATTAGGAATCAATCATCCGTTTATTCCAAAAAATCATCATGTAAACTTTTAGAAAATTAAATTAGTGAATAGTTCGATTAATTTTCTCTTTGTGGTATCCAAACAGTGTCCACTTACAACTACTGTGACAACTTTTGACCTATCTATAACAGGCAATGCAAATCTCTTAATTCCATTTTAAGAAATTTTGCAATGGAAAATAACAGTCGTACAATCCATAATGAACGGATCATACATTTCATAAAATTTTCTAAGCATTAACTCAGTTAAAAATGAACTTCAAGAATCTTATATCCCACCATTACCAGAAAATAATTTCTATTTAAAGTAGAGCAATAAGTGAACGTTAGTTTTGAGTCGCGCGCACCAGATTTTTTATACATATTGTGTTATTTTTTTTTTTTTTTATGCTTTAATATGACGGTTAGTCTGTGACCAGTTAATTGAGGTTATACTAAATAAATATAATATATACTAGTAGGCCCATGCAAAAAACTTGCACAGTATATTGTTCAGTGATTAAATGACAAATTAATAAGAAAAGAAAATAATGCAACGTATCATAAGATAGAGAAATCAATTGTTAGTTCCAAGCTAAATATAATCGACACAGGAAATAAAAATAAAAATTTTATTAATGTTTGGAACCAACAAGTTCACCTTCCCTTACAAAGCCCTCCCCTGGCCAGTGAATCTCCTGCATGGCCACAATATATAAATTGTAACCCCTAATCTCATTTGTGATCAATTTTAAACCACTTTTTTTTCCAAAAGTTTCAAACTATACGGGATTTTCCCGGCTAGAGGGTGATTAATGTCTGAGTTAAAAGTCCTTACAACACCGGGACCCGAACCTGTAATTATTTTATCAAAATTATCTTTCATCAGGTTGTGGTGCTGTGCACATGCGTTAGCTGACTCGGCCACTCCGCCACCTAATTTTTTTTTAACTCTTCTGTTGTATTCAAACTTCTCACATTCCATGTTCCTACACTTAAATCTCTAATTTTCAAATGAAATCATGAATTCCCCACACAGAGAACAGAAAACTAGTTTTGTTAAAAAAATAAATAAAAAACATAGTAAGTATAAAATACTATTTGTTTTAAGGAATAAAAGAAAATAATCTACCTTATCAGGCCATCCAAAGCATGCAAAAGGTAATATTCCAGAAGAAAACCATGTGTCTAAAACATCAGGATCTCTATGGGCAATTACAGGTCCTGATACATAATATTTCGATTTTTTTAAAGCTTCTTCTTCATTTTCAGCAGCTATCCATACATTATCATTGCTTCCTTCACAGTAATAAAAAGGCAGTTGATGGCCCCACCAAAGTTGTCTTGAAATACACCAATCCCTAAAGATTTCACAGATAAAATAAATATTTATCATATCAAACTTGTTTAAATATGAAATATAAAATCATTCCCAGGTGAAAATGTACATTAATATATCTTGACCTAAGTATGAATATATTAGTCCTTTGTGTGAGACTACAGTACTTTTTACTGCTGTGGAATTTTCATAACGATATCTCTTGTAAAAAGAATAAATGTACACCTTCGAAGTGTTCACGAACTTTGCTAAATCTATTTTAGATTACAGTCCAAACTTATTATTCAACTTATTTCAACGCTTTATAACCCAAATCTATGTTGTTAAGAATATCTTTCTTTTTTAAAATTATTCTTTTTGTTCAAGTGATTCAGTGAGGAATTAAAAAACTTAGACAATGTATTGAAAAAATAAAATGTTCTTACTGTATATTTTTTAGCCAATTAAACCAGTTCTCTTGGTAATTTTCAGGTTTTATTATCAATTTTCTTTCTTCCACAGCAACTATAGCCTTTTTTGCCATTTCTTTACACTTAATAAACCTAGAAATGAAAAAAATATAAATACATATAATAATTATTTAAAATGTAGATGATAAAAATTGAAATTTTATGAACCATTGTGGTTTTATCAAATATTCAAGAACATCACCACTTCGACTACAAATAGGAATCTTCATTTTATGAGGTCGAATGTGCTTCAGTAAACCAAGATTTGCCAGTTCAGAACAAATGGATTCACGTGCATCAAATCGCAACATGCCCTGAAATGTCAGAAATCAATGTAAATATTCATAAATTTACATTGAGTAAATATCAATCACATCAAATTCAGTCCAATATTCTCAAAAAATACTAAAGAATATAATGCCTGTGAAATGTGATTGGCAGTGAACAAATGAATTGAGAGATTATATTCATAATTTAGTAATATGCGATTACAAGATTTTAAATTGTATTAGAAAATTTAATTTAAATTGTATTTTGAAGTTAAATCCATATAATGGGTCATAATACCTACTGCCGTTAATTCCATTTCATGTAATTTTTAGTGATTGGGACTGTTGATACCTAGATGGTCCAATATAAATTTTATCTAATTTGTCTACTTCTTTTTCTATGTGTTCGATGTGCACTTTTCAGAGAATTTTTGGACCAAGACCAAAACAGTTCCATCAGGAAAGATAAAAGGAGAAGGATGCCTAGAAGACCAAAACTACAATGGAAAGATTGATTGGCAGATGAAGTCAAGACAATGTTGGGTGTTTAGAACGGGAGAGACATAGCAAATAACCAAAACGACTGAAAATATTGATTTTGGAGACTGTGATTCAACAGTGGGTTTTAGTGCTTGGGAAAAAAAAAGAAGAAGAAAGAGGAAATGACATTTTTATGATTTATTTTTTTGGTGAATTTAATTTGCAATCTATCTTGATTTAATTAATCCAAACTTATTCGATATTAAAAGTTCCTGAGTACTTAAATGCTGAATAATACATAAATTGCATCATCATCATTTCTCAACGTAACGATAGATAAGAATTAATGGTGTATAAAAAATAATGGTTATGAGCAAACAATAGATGCGTTCAATGGCATCGAGACTAGGAAAATCTTGTACTGTCCCTAACAAAGAACAGCATTAATGTTTGATAATGGATGACATGAAATAAATGTTTAATGTCGAATATTTAGTAACTCTCAGACTGTTTTTGGGATAGGAATCGGAATAGGAAAGTTTTTAATGTGGATATGGAGGGGGAATGACGAATTTTGACAGGGGACAGGGAATTCCAGAAATTGACGGAGCGACCAATAAAGGAGTTTTGGAATGAGACAGATCTGCAAGAAGAGATGTAAAGGTCAGAAGTTCAAAATCTTTTGGAAAGGGACTGAGGACTGGAATTGGAGAAGGTTATAGACGTAAGGATGATGATTTGATAGAGGAATGTACCTAGGAAATATTGTTTTCCAAAAGAGTGGAAGAGTCATCTTATCTCAGTGCAGTGGTGAGAGACATGAGAGTATCTAGGGTCCCTGATTACAAATCTTATGCAGCTGTTTATTAGTCTTTAAAGTCTATCGCGGAGCTTCATAGAGAGGGCATCATACACCAAACAGTCAAAGTGGGGGAAGAAGAGAGAGGAAACTATGAATCTACGCATATGTTGAGGTAGAAGATGACAGAAGCGATGGAATAGTTTGAAGGTAGAAATTGTCTGTCGAGAGATGTGAGAAATATGGTGATTACAGGGGAGGGTTTGATTAATGAAAAATTCTAAATTTTTAATAGAGGAGTAAAAGGAGATTGGCTGGTGTAATATGGGAAAATCAGTATGGAATCTAAGAAGAGGCTTGAAACTAATGACAATGACCTGGGTGTTGCCAGCATTTAACCTTAATCTGTTTTCATTTGCACAGGCACTGATTTGATCTAGGTATTCTTGAATCTTGGCAAATGATACCAATAACTCAGGGAAAAAAAAAGATAGGTAGATCTGAGAATTGTATGCATAAAGGCGGTGGGAACAATGGAGAATTGATTTATGTAGGTCATTAATGTAGAAGCTAAAAAGGAGAGGAGATATGATTGAACCCTGGGCAACTCCAGAGGATAAAGAAAGGTAGGCAGATAGTGGTTGATTGGGTATGAAGACTGCTTGGATAAGTTGTGAGGAAAAATTGAAACCAAGAGATGGAACTATAGGAGAAGCATAATGATTTTAGTTTGTTGAAAAGGATGGAATGGTTAATGGAATCGAAGGCTTCAGAGAAGCATAAGGATAGTCGAGCAACATAAGGATAGTTTTATCATCTATCACAGTTTGAATATAGCTGCTGATTTTAATTAAGGCAGATTGTGTGGAGTAGCTGGGACAGAAACCAGATGGATTGGAGAAGATCAAGTTGGTTGGACTTTTCAAGAAAGTTGAAAACTTGAGATTGCACTGATCTTTCTAGGAGTTTTGAGAGGTTGGAAAGAATTGAGACTGGGCGGAAATCTTCAGGATGGATTAGAATTTTTATTTAAAGGAAGGACAATGGCTTTTTTCCAAGTGGTAGGGAATTTGAATTCTGAAGGGAAAAAGTTGTAGATGGAAAGGAGAACTGGGAGAATTTCAGGGAGACATCATTTTATTAATTAGACAGGGATGCCATCTGGTCCTATGGAATTGGTGTTGGATTTTATTACAGTATTTAAAAGATCTATGGAAGAAATGTCGGAAAAAATAAAAGTTATTGTTATTAAATGATATCTTTGGAGAAAAACTGATAGAGGAGAGGTATTAGCAACAGATATAAAATGCAAGTTTAGATCATCAGGAGATACTGGAAAGGCTGAGGTAGGGGATCTGGAAGGGTCACAAAGGGAAAGTTTACGAAGCAGTAGCCATTTTGATTTGATATCAAGAGTTGAGAAAAGGGCTTCATGGAAATAGGTGGATCTCCAGCCGGATCCTTGTCTGTGTCAAATTGCGAAGTACCCTAAAGACTTGGTAGTCATCTGCAAGCCTAGTACATCTAAAGCGTCTATGGGCAGCGTAGCGCCTCTCCTATAGATCTTTTATTTCCTGACACATCCAAGGTACAATCCAGTGATGAAAAGTAGAAGTTCTGAAAGGGGCATGGGTATTGAGGATATTGAGAAGATTGGTAGTAAGAATATCAACCATAAAGTTGATAGAAGAGCAAGAATATATTCCATTCCAATCTGAGATTTCCACCTCAGACAATTTTTTTTTTCGTGTAAGGGTATCCAGATGGCGGAAGGTGATAGTTCGAGGCTGGATACGAAGAGTTCTGATGTTATACGTTATTTGTATCAGATCATCAGCTAATAGAAAGAATATTGGCAGTTGGGAAGTGGAGAGGAGGTTTTGTGCAGTCTACAATGTAGAAATCTAGCCAAGTGTCGGATCTGCTAATATAGTGAGTGGGGGAAAAAGGAACGATGAAGAGGTGAAGGTAGAAGAATAGGTTTTCTCATTGGAGTTAAAAAGGAAATTTGATATTGGTATGGTCACTAGAGATGATTATTTTGGGATAGAGGGGAATGAAATTCAGTAGGGTAGATTCAAAGGTCGGGTCAAATGGAACAAGAAGAGGATGATATACTACAGCATAAAGGAGAGGAAAAGTATTAAAGAGGATTTCTATTAATAGGTGATTGAAGGGTGGGGAGAAATTGAGAATTCAGGTCTTCAGGCTATTGTGGACAAACATGGCTCCACCACCAGTCCAGCTTACCCAGTCATGACAGAGGAGGGTATAATTAGGCAAAGAGACAGAAGAGGAGGGGATGTAAAGTTTAAGCCATGTTTCGGAAATGGCGATAATATGATAAAAATTTTGCATGAAATACTGCAATAGTGGGCAGGGAGGGACTGAAAGTTATCATGGCAGGTGATTAGGATACAAGACATGAGAAGGATTTCGAGGGAAACAGACAGTTTGGTAGAGAAACACTAAAACAAATAAAAAAACCTTTTACAATTAATAAAAATGAGAGAAAAGGAAGTGTATGCAGAAACAAAAAATAAAAAGCATGTGGTTAATAATATATAAATTAATTTCTCCAAGTGAAGAGATAGCTCCATGAGTAGAGTCAAAAATATTACTTTGAAGAAAATTTTGTTAGCAGTTATGTTAATTAGGATGAGGGGTATACAAATTCTATGTAGTCAGGCAAATATAACATGGTCCGAGGCCTGTTCCAGAGTAAATATTCCAAATCCAGAGTAAAAATTACTTTACATTTACTGAAAATTACATGAAATCTAAGTAACAGCAGTAAGTGTCATGTTAGTAATTTTTAGAATCAACCAAACAATACAGTATAAATTAATTTTTTGAATAAAACCTAAAATTTTACAACCCCATAACAATATTGTAATAACTCCCACTCCATACGATCAGCGCCTTCCACATTCCACAGCCATTATATTGTTAACAATCATTTATATTAATTTTAATTATTAAATGGAATTCAATGAAATTGATACTAAGTAATTTCTACACTGTTCACCAAAGTTCCTCCAAGTTTGGGTCAAATTGAAAGCGCCATTTTCAAACTATAGACATATCAAATAACACATTTCCTGATTTGAAAGCGGAAGTGTTTTTTTTTTTTTTGGAGTATTAGATAGAATTTGATAAAATTGATGCCTATTTCATTTTACGTTTACCAATCCCTAAATTCCCTCAAAATTTGAGCCAAATCGAACTTGTGGTTTTAGAGATATAGACGTATCAAGGAAACCACATTTGCGCATATATAAGAGAAAGCTATGGACAGAATTCAATAAAATTGACCATACATTATTTTTTCACAAATACCTACCATTTATCCAACTTTGAACGAAATTTACAAACATGCATTTGCGCGTGCTTAAGCGGAAGTGCTGGTTACAATTTAATAAAATTCATATGGGACCATCTATACACCAACACGAACGATTCCTAAAAATTTCATGGAAATCGGATTTACAGTACCAAGTTTGATCCTTGATGTCTGAAACATAAAACGCTAGTGAAAATTTTCAATTCTGAGCACATTTTTTTTAAGCTCTCCCACGAATACAATGCTTCCCTACCTTTGGTAGTGAGGAAGAAATAATTTATGGCAGGTTTTTTTTTTATAGCAGCCAAGGTTTAATTTATAGCAGCTATTATAACGCTGTAAAATCATTAAAGATATGTTTGTCTGAAATTGCATAAAAGCTAATTTCAATCATTTTAAATGATATATACAAAACTTACAGAAAACCCACCACAATTTTCAAGTACACCTTCTTCATTTATGACAGATCGCTTTGGTAAACTATGGCTTTTACTAATTTGGAAATCAGTTGGGTCATGAGCCGGAGTAATTTTAACAGCACCTAAACACAAATAATTTAATAATAATAATAATGTAAGGAATTCATTATAATACTAAATTATAAATAAAAAAAACATTTTTATGATTCAAATAAACCAATTTTTTTTTTGTTGTTGTTACCTACCTCACCATTTTAGGCTATACGGGATTTTCCTGGGCCAGAGGGTGAGGGCAGGGAATTTAAAATCACCTCCCGCACCAGAACGCGAACTCGTACTTATTATTGTCTCTCAAAACTTCATTTATCTGGTTGCCGGGCAACTCGCGGTGCTGTGCACACGCTTTAGCCCATTCGGCCACCCCGCCCCCAATAAACCAATGTTGATCACCTGAGGGTTTTACACTGCTAAGTAAAAACCAATGAATGATAAAGCAAAATATCTTACCAGTACCAAATGTAGGATCAACCCTGTGATCTAAAACTAGGGGAATTTCTGTTCCATTAAATGGATGATGAAATTTGCACCCCCAGTAAGGTTTGTATCTATTATCATTAGGGTTAACAGCAATAGCCACATCTCCAAACATTGTCTCAATTCTTGTTGTAGATACAACTATTTCTTTGTCTGCTGTTGAATAACATGATTATAAATAATTTATTTAATAATAATTAATTAAATTAAATAATAATTATTATCTCTAATTGGATTGGTTCAATAAATATTTGTAGACTTATTGATTATCTTAGTTTAAAAAAAAAAATTTGAAAAAACTAAAGGAATGCATGGAGAGCCAATGGAAAAGAGTGGTCAATCATTGGATTTGATGAAGAATTGATAAAGTTATGGCGCACCGACAAAAAAACACCTTTTAGAAATAATATATAGGATTAGATATTAAATAATACCAATGCTTGCTCATTCATGAAAATCATAGATATATATGTATATAATGTTATCAGAGTCCATATACTTTCGGCCAACCTCGGGTTTCTTCAGTTCTAAATTACCATCCCTTTACCTAAAGATTTTTCGTTTTTTCTTCTTTATTTAATTATCAAATTCTTCCATATTTTATATCAAATTACAATTTATAATGGTTAATTACGTCAAATAAAATAATTAAAGGTACTTTAGAGGAAAAAATGTTGAAAATTAGGCATTTAAGCCCTACTGAGGAATATCAATGAGAATAAGACCAACATTATATTAAAAACAACTTAATTATACATTGAGATAATCAAAATCATAAGAGCCATTTTCAAGAAAATTGGAAAATTATGTAAAATCGGTGACAGAAAGAGGAACTTCTGGTTGGCCGATTTTGACGAAATTGCTGTAACATCTCGGGCATATATAAACCTTAGACATTCAATATCAGTTTAGTACGACTTTTAGTTTTTGAGCTAGACTGTTCAAAAACACACGCACGCAACCACATTTAGACCATCTTGTGATACTTGGTTATTTGGACCTCAGTACATGTATTTCAGCTGAAAACTCAGATTCAAAGTTTCTCACAATTGCAATACTTTTCCTTACTGTATATTTCATATATAAGTAAGCAAAAGTAAAAAAGATGCACTTAAAATAAATTGTCTTATTTAAAAAAAAAAAAAATAAGTGTAATAAAGTATCACGTCTGGTTGAAAGATTAGTCAACATCATACCGATCATTCTATAGATTTTAATCCAATGAAAGTAGCTGAGAATTGACAACTATATACACAAGTGGGTTTGCAATGCTCACTAATAAAGAGAAGTATGAATAAGCTGTTAACAGGTCCTTTTCAGTTGAGCTCGAAGCTTTGCCCTTTAGGGATTGTTTATAGAATGTGATCAAATATAATATTGACCTACCTAATCTACAAGATCTTATGCTTATAAACTAGAACCTAAATAATATCAACTTATAATACTAGAATCAATCTAACCTGATCCAACAATTCTGTAACTAAAATCAATCAAATTTCCAAATGTAATAGGTTTTGAATAACCAGGCAGAGATAAAGCAGTTGGTCCATCGATGTCAATATAATCAACTTCAATATCAGATACTACAGATCTTAGGTGAGGTGACCAATTAATCAGAGATTCTTCTCTATAAATTAATTCTTTTTTAAACAACTGGATAAGAGCAAAATTTACTGCATCCCTATGTTTCTGGGGAAAAAAGAAATCATAAATACATACAATTTTTTTTTTAAAATGTTAGCAAACAATATAAGACCTTATCTAGAGTAAAAAATTCTCGTTCCCAATCGACAGAAGCTCCAAGTTTCTTGATTTGTAGATTGATAACTTTAGACTTATCACTTTTCCACTTCCAAACTTCTTCCACAAACTTAGTTCTGCCAATGTCAAACCTCGAAATCCCCTGCTTCATAAGAAATTTTTCAACAATAACCTGAGTTGCTATACCAGCATGATCAACACCAGGAGTCCAAACAACTTCATTCTGACACATTCGATTCCTGAAAAACATCAAGTAAAGACCTTAAACTAACCTCTCCTACTATTATATAAAAGGATAGTACATTTTTCATTTGCAACTATTACTAGGTACTGGTAGGGGAACTAGTCAGGCAAGTCCTTTTTGCCAACTCCTAACAGCTACCTTAAGGTTGCCACCGTGTACTTACCAGAATGGGAGTGTAGGGACGGGTTGGCTATTGAAATGACAATATATAAGTCCTTGCACAAATGCAAACAAGAGAAAATGATAAAGAAAAATAAGCAGAAACAGCAAAAAAAAAAAAATATTACTCATGTCTTGATAAACCTCACAGGCATTTTTTTTCTTTTTAAATTACTCCCTATAACGACACTTCTGGCATACTTGGGGGAAGGGTTGTTCTACAGGTACAACCAAACCAAATCCTACATAAGTGGGTAGGAAGAGCTTCATTATATGAGTCAACCATGAAATTAAATTTCAAGCTGCTCAAGCCACATTCGAATCAGCGTCGCTAGACCCGAGAATGTTAAAGTTTATGTTTTAATACACTAGGCCAACACAACCTCAACTTCAGTATTGCTCCAGATAAATGGATAGGTATAAGTTCTCATAATCACACTATAAATGGAATTGCAAGAATGGCTGAGAATAACCTCCCTAAATTTAGATAATGATTTACTACTTATGCAAACTTCTAACTTGTCCATTTAGTTAAAATTGGAGCTTTAATTACATTGCGGCTTACAACAACTTCTGCTCACTAAAACAGAGAAATCAAACTCCCAATAGGATCTTTTGGTGAAGATCAGGGCCTTACCAGAGGGTTCAGTCACCTCTATATACTTTTTAGACCAACCATTTTCGGAATTCCATCAATATTGGGATTACAAAATCCTGTGCCCACCACTAATGGTGGAACCCTTCCGAAGTAATATGCTATACTTATACCTCTATATATAAAATAAACAGCCCTTTTTTTTAAAAATTGTAACCATGATACTAACATACTAGTGTTGATCCCTTTTGTTTGGTAGGCACAAGATAAGACTAAAAATGAATTCCTGAGAATAACTTTCCTATAGTTATATAGTGATGTACGACTTCGCACACTCTCAATTTGTCCTTATCAGTTAAAATCAGCTTTAATTAAATTCTACTTCGATTCTCTATACCTCTTCAAAATATATACACATACCCGCAACAGGTCCTTTTCAGATTCAGGTCGAGCCTTACCAGATGATTTGATAATCTCAGTCCACAGTCGGCCATCATTGGAATCCCACTTATAGTATGATCAATTGATCAACTGTCCATCCATCTAATTGAAACAACACTCATAAAGTAGTAACTTAACCAATAATTGTAAAAACGATTGAACCAGTAATTACCAAATATAAACTCTGTATTCTTCATGGTCCACTCAAGGTTTATCAAAAATAAAATCTTCTACTTCAGAAATAATTATCTATTCAATATATGATTATTATTAAAAACATATAAAGTGATTTGTCCTTCTGTTTTACAAATGAATTTCAGAAACAATGGGCATGTATGACCCAAATTTGGATGGAGGTGAAACCATAGGGCACAGTTAGATATGCTATACATGACTAACCATTTACCATCTAGCCATTGTGTCTTGCACAGAAATAGTTAAGGCATGGCCAATATGAAGAGTGCCTGTAACATTGGGAGGAGGAAGTAGTATAGAATAAATCTGGCCATTCTTCCTAGGTTGAAAGAGTCCTTTGTCAACCCATTGTGAATAATTATCATCCTCAAATACATTGGGCTTGAAGCTGTTACTAATTCCAGGAAAATCTACAGAAAAAGGAAAGGAAGAAAGTTATGAAAATGTAAAGTAATTACTACAACACTATAAAATAAAAAATGAAGCAATACTTTCAAACAGCCGTAGAGTATTAACATTTATTTTTTTCAACGTTGGTTGAAAGGTATTAAAGCCACAAAACATTTCTAAACTATGACATTTACAAATTCGAAAAGTCGCGCATTATTTCGGTCTCAATTCAAACAGTTTATTAAAACATCATATATGTAATTGTCATTGATACAACCCCAAAGACATAAAAAAGTTCAAATATAAATCCGTTCCTGGACCAAAACAAAATAGAACCGGCACGAATACGCAGAGAGATAGACAGCAGATGACCACACTAAAGAGCAAAGTAAATATATATGAAGTCCCTCATTTGGGACTACAATTACACACGAAGTCATTAGTCCTGGTGATTTGACTTTGACAGAGTTGGGCATTGAAGCAAGCTAATTCTCTATCTACATACATTTTTAATTAATTAATTAGTGTTTGAGAAAAAATCTTTCTTTTTTCTTGTTCATTAATACTGTTAAAATATGATTTATATGTTTTAATGTAAATAATTTATCCAGTATAAATAAATATATTTAGCATAAATAAATATAACAATATCGTTGCTACCAACACTATTTCAGAGGAATGGAAAGTATGGAAAGGGCATATTTCTAAACTCAACACCGATGCCATTGATGGCTACGTTTTGCCCATTAGAGGGTTACCTGCTGTCCACCTGCGGACCAATCCCCATATTTATTTGTAAATTGTGTTGATCTCCTTTTATTGTAAATATTGTGGGAATGTTTGTTTTTCTCTTATCCCCAAAGATCAGAAGTTGCGATTTTCACATTTTTCTTTATAGGAAGGAATCCCTTCTACTGCATAGATCATATGCACTTTTAAGGAGTTATGAAGATTTCAAGGGTTTTGAAAATTCTTAAGTGCTGAGTCGTCAGTCTAGTGATGGGGCCCACTAGTTGTCTTGTGTCAGTCCAGTTAGATAGTAATGCTCAGCCTTGTCAAGCCTGAGGCTTTTTGTAAGCGTTTGCCGGCTCTATGGCCCACGGGTCGGAGTTAGTGTCTAAAAAAGCGGGTTATTAGCGTATTTCAGGATATCAAAAAATTTTACGTGCTTGAGTGTTATAAAGTCTGTCACAGTCGGAAGTTCAAAAGTCTTGTGAAGTTGATCTGTTTTTTTTTCCTCTGTAATTATGTATGTCTCATAATACGTCTCAGCTTTCCGTTCTGAAAGTGCTGGAGCTTAGTTGCAGTTGAGTGAGGCTGATATATTTGATAAGATCGGCGCTCCATGAAAAAGAGCTGGTCTTAAAGATTTTATAAATTAATAATTTGAGGCGGAGGGAAATATTTGGTGAGGTCAACAGAGATGGTTTAGCCTATAAGATTTGGTCTTGGCTTTCTTCCGGTAGCGGCGGAATAGTCTTATGTTAGGTGCCTTTGAGGCGAGGTGGCCGAATGGGCTAACGCGTGTGTATAACACCTCGAGTTGCCCGGCAACCAGACAACCGAAGTTATGAGAGATTAAAAAGTCAAAGTTTAAATATATGTATATATATATATATATATATATATATATATATATATATATATATATATATATATATATATATATAAGTTAATTGTTGCGGACTTTAAACACTTAAAAAAAAGAGTAAAGGTTCAACAAATAACACGCATGAAGTCAGAAACAAGACTGCTTTATTGCTCCTTATAATCTCCTATATATACATTCTGAGTTGTTTACATAAATGCTTTTGGTATTAAAGCTAATACTGTCCCGCTCCGTACCTTAACTCCTCCCCACCAGTTTACGGATACTCTTCGTAAACTTAAAAAATAAAAAGACATAAAAACAAAAAATATAACTCTTATATGTACAACGACAAGGTTCTCTTGTCCACATTATAACAAAGGTACGGAATGTTCAGTACTTACAACCTAATCTAATGAAAACCAAGCAAAAATATCCACATTTAAAACCCTCCTTTTCCAATTCCTCCTTACAATTCAATCAGACGCTGGGTAGCCTATATTGTATTATTATACTATTGTTGCATTGTATATATGTATATGTGTATGTATGTATATGTATATATATATTAATATATGTATATTGTATATATACTATTGTACTATTATTGTATTCTCACTATTATTGTATTATTGGGTGTATATATTGTGTAAGTACGATTACACTATTATTGTATTTCGATTATACTATTATGTTCTTCGAACATACTACTATTACTATAACATCTTTATTATTATTTGTCGCTCATTTATAATTTCATAGCGTATTGTGTATAGCAACTATTTTGCAGTATTAGGACCTTATTTCTCATATTATGGCTTCCTATATCTGTACAGTTATGTAAATACTTCTTTTATACCTTATTTTTTAGTTGTTTTTTTGTTTGTTTTTGTTTATTATAATATACATTTTGGCCAGATGTAATGTTTCATTTTATGTACAATATTGTTATTCTCAAGGGACGTAGTCCCAGAATAAAGTTGATTCTTCTATCTATCTATCTATCAATATTCCTTATATAATAAATTAAAAAAAAAAAATAATAATAACACACTTTGCCCTATACATTTTTCTCACAAATGAAAGGCGTATTCCACTGCATTTGCACTTTTCTTTCAAAATATACACAACGTTATGTCAGAACACTATATACAAAACAAACAAAACAAACAAACAAAAAAAAAATCTTCTTTCCGGAGACGAGGGCACTCCAGTTCTAAGGTTGCTGTGACTCTGTAATCGGAAATTTTAATTGTTCTATGTGAACCGTCCTTCGTTTTTTTGGTTCGTTCACACTCTCAATCGTCACCACATTATGCTCTCTAATGACTATCACCCTGAATGGACCCTCATATCTCCGCACTTCCTTTCCCCTATTCGAGCCTAATTTGCGATACACTATGGACCCGATTTTCAATCCCCCTGTTACTTCCTTCACTTTGAGATTTTCCCCCTCTATTTTTGTCTTAACCTTCCCCCAGAGATTACCCAGTTCCATTTTATTACTAACCATTCTTTCTGTCATTTGCTCACCCGCAGCTGTACCTCCCCAGTCCCGTTGCCGCCCGCGTAATCCGAAGAGGATTTCGAATGGAGAGAACCCTGTTGTCGCATGTATAGAATGGTTGTACGCTGCCACCGCCTTCCGCATTGCCACATCCGGTTCCAACCCTTTTTCCACCTGATACACCCTTAGATGGTCACTAAGAGTGCTGTGCAATCTCTCTATACTTCCTCTGCTCTTGGGGTGCCCCGGAGTATTAAGATGCCACCTGACACCTACGTTCTTCATCTCCGCTCTGATTTTGGCAATGTCGAACTCTCTGCCCCCGTCGGATGTTATGCGATCGGGTACTCCGTAACATTGGAACCACGTCTGGAGGGCTCCTAAGACTGCCTCTGCTGATCGCTCCTGTACCAGGTACGCCATTGCCGCTTTACTAAAGAGGTCTATGAGCGTGACCCATTTATACCCTCTCCACGTGAACGTATCCACTTGCAAGTCGCTTAGTGGTGCATCGACCGTGGGTGTCTACTCTTGCATCGTTCTTGGGGGGTGCCTATCGTACTTTGTGCTCGCGCACACCCTGCAGAACCCTATGAGCTCTGCGATAGTTTTCTTCATCCCCCACCAAAAATATTTCCGACGCAACGCTTGAAACGTCTCCTGTGCCCCACGGTGGTTGGTCTTGCCCTGGTGGTAAGCAAGTGTTATGTCCTTCTGCTGCTTTTCATCCCGCACTGTATCAACCATCAGTTTGCAACGAATGAACGTCCTATCCATCCCTAATCGTTCATCCCGCCATAGCCTCTTTATCTTTTCCCAAATCGTTTCATTCCCCACATATAAGTGGTGAATTTTCCTTGCTTTCAACGCGTCTTTGAGAGCTCTGCAGATCTGGTCCACGCTGGCTCCTGGTTGCGACCAAATGGTTGTTATTCGGCTGTTGCCGTACTTGCTATATAATATCTTCATCAGACCCGACGTCCTGGTCTTCCAGATGATCTGGCGGTTCTTGTCGTTGACGATTTCCTCCCGTTCTTCCATCTCCACAGACCTCTCTTCCACTGGACTCTCTTCTTGCTGGGTATCACCTCCATCCACATTTTCTTCCACCGCTTGTACCCCCTCTCCCTCTGGCGTCCAGTCCCTCAGGAATCGTCTCACGCCTCCCGATGATTCCGCTGTATCCTCCTCTATGGCATTCATAGTTAGCGCTCTCGAAAGCCAATCCGCCACCACATTCTCTCTTCCGGGCTTGTACACAATGTCCATGTTGTACTGGTTAAGAATCTCCTTCCAGCGTGTTACTCTAGCAGAGGATTCCTTTAGTTTTCCTACCCATTGTAGGGGTCTATGGTCCGTCTGCACGCGGAATTTCCTCCCAAAAACATATGGTCTAAAATAGCCCATACGATCGCTAACAGCTCCCTCTCCAGCGCACTGTATCGCGACTCTGCCTCCGTCAGTCGCCTGCTGGCATATGCTACGGGGCGATCCCCCCCATTTCCATCCTGGAATAATACAGCCCCCAACGCGTATTCGCTAGCGTCCGTTGTGATCGTAAACACTTTCGTAAAATCCGGAAACGCCAACACTGGCTCCTCTTGCAGCCTCGCCATACATTTTCGGATGTTGTCTTCCATTATGGGGGTTACTATCACCTTGCTGCCTTTCTTTAATAAATTGTTGAGGGGTACGAGGTATTCCGCCATTTCGGGCACAAATCGTCGATAATAATTAAGGGTTCCCAGCAATCTGCGGATCCCTTTTACATCCCGAGGTATTGCCATCTTCTTAATCGCCTCCACTTTCCGCGCGTCAGGTTTGACTCCTTCACTCGATATCGTGTGTCCTAAAAAATTTATGTGGTCCTGCCCTAACAAACATTTCTCGCTGGACAGTTTCAGCCCAAATTGTCTGACTCTCTCAAATACCCTACGTAGATGCTCAACGTGTTCCGCCTCATTTTTACTAAAAACCAATAGGTCGTCCATGTAAATTTGGCACATCCCTTCGTCAATTCCCCTTAGGAACTCGTCCATTAACCGCTGGAATGTTATAGGGGCATTCTTGAGACCAAATGGCATTCTCGTAAATTCGTAATGCCCCCTCTCGAACGTGAATGCTGTCTTCAACTGATCTTCCGGAAGCATCCTAATCTGATGATATCCCGCTTTCAAGTCAAGAGTACTGAATACCGTTGCCCCGCTTAACCGATCTAAAATGTCCTGAAACTTCGGGATTGGGTATTTTTCATCCACCGTATTCTCATTAA